AAAATCCTTTTAACCTTTTATTAAAGATAAAGAAGAGTAGGAAAAACAGTTTACATTTAAAATGCTGAGAGTATTAAATAATGCTTTTATTTATCATCATCCTTTGTTCACTCTCCTTTTAGCTGAAGAGAATTTTTAGAAGGAAACCCCCCTTTGTTTGGCAGTCTCTTAGGTGGTATCAAGACGATAACTGTCCTTTTGGGAAAAGAGAAGTTGAGATGGGCTGGAACTGTTGTTGCTGCTAGATTCCAATCCCATTTCATCCCCGATGGTGGTTGGGATTCAGTTGGTCCCAGTAGAGGTGGCGATGTCACCTGGGTCCCTCTTTCTGGCCCAGTCTACTCAGGACATCCCTCAGGATCAGAATGACAAAGGCTCAGGGTCCCAGGAGACAGTAGGGGTGGCAGCCATAATAGTGAAGCTCGCTCCAGTAGCCAGTTTTTCTCCCAGAGTCTCTTTAAGGACTCCAAAAGGGAGTGGTGGGCAGCCCATCCCCTCATTCTGCCCACCTATTAGGCCTTGTTTCCAACACACCAGTTTTGGTTCATTGATTTCTCGTTCCATACTTTCCTAGTTTACCACAGTCCTTACTTAACAGTCCTTGAGTTATATGAGCAGGCCTTTTTTGTCGGACTAATTCAGTCTTTTAGTCTTGCTTTTGCACCTTTTCCCATCAACGTTTGTTGTTGTTGACATCTTATGAACTTACATTCACTTTTTACAGCTGAGCTCACAATTAGATTAAATTTATAGGCCCAGCTATCACAACATAAGCTCTCTCTTTTATCAATCAATTCTGCCAAGGTCAGACGTTTGTTCACAAAACCACAATTAAAAAAAACCCTATCATTTTAAGCATATAGAAAAAGGAAAAGAAAAAGGTACTTGGTTATCTTTTACAATTTGCAAATTTCTTATCCCAAAAATTGGGATTTAATCAGATATTACAAAAATGACTGTTAAACCTTTAAGATGTTAACAGAGCTTAAGAACTTACAACTCACTTCACCTATAGCTAAAACAAAATTCAAAACTGCTGCTGTTGTTGTCCAGCTAGACTAAAAGATATAAGGCACTTGGTATGGTTTTAATCAGGCCACAACTTTATTATTAGATGTCTGGGTTGACCCAGAAGGTAAGTGTATAGTGCAGGTAACCCCGTGTTCATTCAGTAATTACCTGGGGGCTTCCATCAGGTCCCTCTTTTTTCATCCAGGTCCCCCAACCAACCCATTGATGGGATCTTACCATCCCCCCCCCCATAGGAGGGTTAAAGTGTGCTATAAGAAAGGGGGGTTGGCTCCCTGCCATACCATTCATAGGAGCCCCAACCACTTCCACCATCCCCAATCCATTCCTTTAACCAACACCACCTGATTAAGTCATTTTCCAAGCCATTATCTCGTCACTGTATCCCTTCCCCATGGAGTACCTGCCCTGGACATCCGCCCCACACTTACATGAGTTGTGACATAAAGCCTAACCCCTTCATGCCACACATCATCAAAGCCCTCCCTGAACCTGCTGTGGGGGAGGCAGAGGGAAAACCCCCACTCCACCAGGCCAATCTGGTGGTGAGGGAAAAATTCCTTCCCAGCCCCCCTGAAAAGGGGCAGCTAGTGCAGTGCCCACATAGGTCTTGACCAAACCTGGTATTTTACCAGCTAAGGGGGAGGGAAGGTGGGTGTAGCCTTAGCCTGCTCCATGTAAGAGGGGCTTCACTGCTCGGGGCTGTCCCTTTTAAACCCTTCTGCCCTTCCAGTTCCCAGAGGATGAGTCAGTGACCACGCTGATCCGTCCTCCCCTTTTGCAGCAGTTTCTGACCTCTTCCCCCAACTCCCCAGCAGTAAAGCGCTGTTCCCTTCATTTGGCCAGCCAGACAAAATCTACCCCTCTTGAAGATGCAATGCAGTCATTTGTAAGATGTTTAAAAACAAACTAGTTCTTGTCACTTCTTTAGCTGTATGCCCCAAATGGATAAATGGGGGAGGGGAGATAGAGGAGGGGCTGTTTTTGCCTCTTACACAGTAAAAGCTGCACATTTACACAAACCATGAAAATTGTATATATTAGTGGTTAAGCTTGCTCTCTTGGAGAAAAACTTTAGCCCTGATGGCATTCTTACCCAAGTGTGTTGTCTTATTTAAAAAGAAGCAACAAAATGATGGTTTTTTGGAATCACTTTTGCATTCATGACCAATTTGCAACACCCAAAGGAGTAAAAATTCAGACATTTGTAGTTCATGACAGACTTAGCCCACCTGTTTTGCCACCAACATTTGTGATGACAGTATGACCATTGTGGCAACATAGTCTATCACAAGGATCTAACCTGCAATACTAACACTAACCGGTGTCTCATGCCCAGAACAAAAACAAACACAAACATTAAAAAACATAACTGGAATGAAAAAAAAAACCCACTGCAAAATCCAAAAGAACAAGAAGAAGAAAACACACACACTCCGCAAAATCCAAAAGGAAAAAAAATTGCCAAAACAAAACCATCACCAAAAAATGTGGTGGTGCAAAAGCTCCTAGTTCTGGTTGTTTGAGATTTAATTCATATTTAATGCAGTAGCAGCCTTGAATTAAAATGGCATTTTGTTAACAAGAGGGTTACCCAAGATGTTACTTTGAGAAAGTGTGCATTAGTAACTTAACCTTCAACTATTTAAATCACTTCATTTTTACTTTTTCTTAAAAATACCTTTTCAGTAAACCTTCAAAATGATTACCAATCACAGAAACTATAAACCTCAAAAAAGCATTTAAGATTTAAAAAAAATAGAATTTTAAAAAATTGCCAAACCTTTTTAAAAAAAAAGCAAAATAATTAACAATTTACTTGGCATGCTTATCTCAAACAAGTTCAACACATTTAAGAATTTTAAAACAAACTTTTGTTTTAAACTAACTTTGAAAACAATTGCTTGTTTGCCAAGGTGGCAGCTTCTGAGTGTGTATTTAGGCCCCATGTTGGGATGCCAAAAATGTTGTTTGGACTAATTAAGTCTCTGTCTCACCTTTGCACCTTTTTCCTGTCAACATTTGTTGCTATAGGTTATTGCGACATCCTATGAACTTTCACTAGATTTTTACAGTTGAGCTTACAATTAGGATAAATTTGTACCCAATTATCAGAACCATGCACAACAGGAGGAATGGCAGCTGGCCCCTACAGGTGGATGTTGTGGCCCAGGCAGCAGCTCGAGCTAGCTACCTGAGCTTGGACCCAGCTAATCAGTGGGGCTTGGACTAGGGTAGCTAGCCTGAGCAGCTGTCCTTACTGCAATGTCCACACTGCTATTTTTAGCATGCTAGCTCTGCTGGAGTAGGCATGAGTCTGTCTACACTGCTAAGAATATCACCTCCCAGCTGCAGGCTAGACACACCCTTGGAAGAAAAAAGGACTCTGGGGAGGGAACATTGAGGTAGTAGCCAGAAGAAGTTCACAACTTTAAAGGGGACAGGAAATGAGTAGGGCTGCTAGATCAGCCACCTTAGTGCACAACCTTGCATTTCAAAGCTGGAGGGGATAAGGGCTGGTTGTGTGCACCAAAGCTAGGAGGCTACCCGGAGTGCTCAGATCCTCTGTACCAAGTAGAGGAAGAGTTTATACTGCCTGGAAAAATCACAGTGAAGGAAGAGAAAAAACACGAAGAGAAACCCCACATTGCACTTGCAGCCCTAGATAAACAGTAATGGGAGGGGGAAAGGGAAGTCAGGATTAAGGGCTGTGACAAAGTTCCTCCTCTGTCTTGGTGGGTCCTGCGCTTACTGGCAGATTTGCTTGCCTCAGAGGTTCACAGCAGCCCTCAGTTTGGCCACTTTCATAGCTCAAATCTGCTGTTAACTCAGTTAGCCTCATCATTGGCAAGCATAGGGAAAAGGAAGAACAACAATCCTCGTAGGCTCTGCTGATCCACCGAGTGGATCGGGGAACAGGCCAGAGACCTTCCCCTCTGGTGGAACCCACAGTCCAGGTCAACTCCTCCAGTATCAAGTAGGGAGTTGGGGGGGATGGAGGGGAACCGGGGCCCACCCTCTACTCCGGATTCCAGCCCAGGGCCCTGTGGATTGCAGCTGTCTACAGTGGCTCCTGTAACAGCTGCGTGACAGCTACAACTCCCTGGGCTACTTCCCCATGGCCGCCTCCCAACACCTTCTTTATTCTCACCACAGGACCTTCCTCCTGAGGTCTGATAATGCTTGTACTTCTCAGTCTTCCAGTAGTACACCTTCTCACTCTCAGCTTCTTGCACCTCTTGCTCCTCGCACGCGCACCACAAACTGAAGTGAGCTCCTTTTTAAAACCAGGTGTCCTGATTAGCCTGCCTGTCTTAATTGATTCTAGCAGCTTCTTGATTGGCTGCAGGTGTTCTAATCAGCCTGTCTGCCTTAATTGTTCCCAGGAGGTTCCTGATTGTTCTGGAAACTTCCCTGTTACCTTACCCAGGGAAAAGGGACCTACTTAACCTGGGGCTAATATATCTGCCTTCTATCGCTCTCCTGTAGCCATCTGGCCTGACCCTGTCACAGAGCATTCCCCAAGTGCTCCCTTTTTGAGGAAGAGATGGAGGTAACAGTGAATGAGCCAAGGTGAAGAAGTAGAAGAGGACAGTACGTGTAGTAGACAAAAGAAAGCTGTTATATCAAGGAAACGGGGATGGCTTGCCACCAGAAAGGACCTGCCCTTTAGGGTTCAGTTGAGAAGTTATTGCCCACAACAAGAAAGGACCTGCCATTTGTCACCCACGTTGGTGGTGGTGATGAACTGGGGCTGGTAAGCTGCCAACCATCAGAAAGAGGACCTGTCATGATTGAGACGGAAGAGGGAGAGCCCAGCAATCTGAAAGATTGTACTAAAATCTCTTCCTCTGAGAGCCTGCACTTGAAACAAAGTGTTTTTCTTTATTTTCAGGTGGTGTTCTTCTATAACTCATTTTTCTAGTTGTCATTGTACTCTTTCTTGGCTTCTTTCTTCTTGGGCCAGAGAACTGGAATGAAAGAAGGAACATTGCTAACAAGAGACTGCAGGATTCCCCTTGCGACAATGAAGACTTCCTGGGTAAGGTTAAGCTTGGGTTTATGTACTCCCTGGGAGATATAACTTCGCTTCTTTACCTCCTTGCTTTCAGAGATGCAGTGATAATCCTTCTTACAGAACGGAAGAAAAGGGACCATACACTGTAGTGGTATTCCTTGGTACAAATACATCTACCAGAGGAGATTAAGCACAATAATGTATCTTTCCACAATGATAAGTTGGCACCGAAAAAGGCACAATCGTAATCAAATAATATACTCATGTTCACAGATCACAAAGCACAATCCTCCTATCCTTCTGTCCAAGCTCCAGGTATGCCAAGGAGAGGGAGTGGCAGAAGTTTAGGATCTCAACAGTTTACCAAGAAATTACTTCAAGAAAACAGAAAACTTTAGAAAAAACAAACTCATGGTCCACCTTTCATCTTTCAAAGGTACAGAAAGCAAGCTTGTTATCTTTAATAGCAGCATAGAGACCAAGACATGTATGCTGGAAAACCAGTCTTCCTCCCTGAGATATTACAGCATACTAGACTAAGTTTGTGGATACAATGTAAGAAATTCTAGGTCTCATGAAAAGACAGATCTCCTCATCCATGAATGAACCATTCAGGAGAACAGCATTGTAATCTGTAGTCTCTTAGTAATGCAAATTTTTTCTAAGATATTTTTGAGTCAAAATGGCTCCCACCTTTGTGATATTTCAGGAGTTTGTATCACAGAGTAAGGACTAATATATGCAGAAACAGAGAGCAAACACATTTTGGGGTCTAATTTCTGTTCTCCTGATTTCTGTATTTTCTAATTCCATATTCCAGACATAATACTGATTTGGTTTCTCAAAAGCTATTTCTCCCTTCTACTGTAAGGTTAACATTTAAAGAAAATTGCCAAATTTTAGTTAGTAGGTTTAATATTTAGTAATTTTTCATGATACTGTTATAGCTTTGGGAATACAACCATCTGGTGGTTTAAGTGGAATGGTCCATCCCAAATATAGGAATGACAAATTGGGTTGTGCCCCCTAGTTTAAAGGAGATGGGTAACCCACAAAAAGACTGTTAAGCACAGAACTGAGGAAAAGCAGAAATTTTCAAGAACACTTGAAATGTGCAGCATCAGCTTCTGTTTTGGCACACAGAATTAAGAGTAATACCCACAGAAAATCTGGCCCCAGCATTCATCTATAAATTAGAACTAAAATAAGAATTTAACTATGCATGTATTTAATTACACATTCTTATTTATATTTTAATAATTGTGTAGTTTTTCAGTCTTCCAACCCAACAGTTTTTCATGTGATGATAATGCTAATGTAAAAAGTTATAATACGGTTAAACACAAAACATTCATCCAAACACACAGACACTGTGGATATAGAGACCTTTATATATACTATATAAAATTTATAATTGCATATGAGAACAGATAATGTGGGGAGACAGACCTAGTGGTGATAATGGACTGCAATTTATATTACAGTAGTATTTAGAGGCCCCAATCAGGGACATGTGACCCATTCTGTTAGGTCAGGGGTAGGCAAACTATGGCACGCCGATTTTCAGTGGCACTCACACTGCCCGGGTCCTGGCCACTCCCCTGCTGGTCTGGGGTACCGGCCACCAGCCCCCTGCCAGCCAGGGTTCTGCCCGCCGGCCCCCGGCCACCAGCCTGCAGCCACCCCCAGCTGTGGCCCACTGGCCCCAGCCTGGGGCAGGGAAGGGTGCAGACAGGGGCAAGAGGGGGCACAACTCAGCACCCCCACCTTAAAAATTGTTCCAGCGCCACTGTACTGGGATATTTTTAAGTCCTGATTTGTTGCTTACATCACTATCACGCCACGTGGAACAGCGCACTGCGTTTGATGTTGAGATTAGAATGTACGTGCAAGAACTGGAATCAGAATTTTCTGACAGATTTCAAGATTTCCAGCAATTTGGCCCAATGCTTTCTTTTCTAATTAAACCTGAAAAGTTAAATGACAGCAACTTGGATTTGTCTGTATTTCAGTGGATGGGTGTTGCAGATTTCGAAATGCAGCTCATTCAGTTAAAAAGCTCAGAATTGTGGGCATCAAAGTTTGGAGATCTGCGGAGTGCACTTGCAGCTACCGAGAAAGATCATGGGACCTCTGTTCTAACCTGCTGGACGTCCCTGCCAGTGAAATTTAACTGTTTGAAGAAAATTGCATTTGCAATGCTTTCAGCATTTGGATCCACATACCTGTGTGAACAGGTATTTTCACACACAAAATCTGTTCTCTGTCCCTCTTGGAGCCGGTTAACAACTGATCACTCAGAAGCCTGTGTGCAGCTATAAGTATCCAAATACGTGCCAGACATTGGAAAACTCAGCAATGAAATCCAAGGGCATGGATCACACTAAACTGATAAGAGCTGCATTTTAATGTAATTTTAAATGAAGCTTCTTAAACATTTTAAAAACCTTATTTACTTTACATACAACAATAGTTTAGTTACATATTATAGACTTATAGAAAGAGACCTTGTTAAAATGTATTACTGGCATGCGAAACCTTAAATTAGAGTGAATCTGAAAGGTTGCCGACCCCTGTGTTAGGCACTGTAACAACACAGGAAAGATAGTCCCAGCCCTAAAAAAAAATGAAATTTAGGTTAATGACAAGATATGAGGAGTGCCTGAACAAACAAAGAGGTAGGGAAGGGGAGACGGAGGATGAGGTAACTGTAGTACGAGCACATTTTCATGTAGACTAGCTGTGTTCACAAAGTAGCGTGCTATCTGCCTGCTTTTGTCAACTGGCATCTGTGGATATGGCAGGGCCAAACTAATGGAATATTGGGCTGAACGTGAAGTAGCATTAAGTCAATGTGGCTCCTGATAAGACTACACCTACGATACTGATTTCAATTCTGGGCATCTCAATAGTAGAAACAAAGAAAGAAAAAATAGTAGACGGAATTCAGAGAAAAGCCTGCATTAATGGAACTACTTACATGAAGAGGAGTAACAGGATCTGGCCCTCATTTACAAACGGTACTCAGAACAGAGAAATGATACAAGGTATACACAAGAGTTTAAACTAATCCATAATCTGGGGGAAATAATTTTTAAGAGATACTCAATAGGAAAGAGAAACCTGTAAAGATGTCATACTAAAAGTGTACTAGGAATCATAATAGACAACCAATTACACAAGAATTTGCAATTTAGTTTTCCCAAGGCTATTTTTAATTGCATATGCAGGGGCAGCACATTATGAGTGAAAAAGGTAATAGTTCCCTTCTCTCTGGTTCTAATGCAACTGTATCTGGAAACTCTGCCTTCAGTTCTGGACACCTCAATACCAGAAAGATATTAATACATTGGAGAGAGTCCAGAAAAGAGCAACAAATGATCTGGGTACTGGATTTTGAGGACAGATTTAAAAAGCTAACGATATGTAAATTTAGCACAAGGATGGGGAGCATATAAATTTACAAATATTTGAAGGGAGACAACATCAAAGGGGAACAGGAATTGTTTGTTGTGGTATGAGGGAGGCATAGCTAAGGGGAGTTTAGCTAAGATTAATGTGCTGAAATTAAGGAAGGTAAAATTTAGGATTAATCTAAGAAAGATTCCCTATACTGACATCTAAGGCTCCATAATAGTCTCCTATGGGACACTTAAAACTAGTCTGGACAAACATTAGCAAATTCACCATAGGGAACAATTTTACACGGAGGGATTTTTTTTTTTCATTCTTACATTCTGTGATGAGAAGAAAAGGCTATCCTGTCTTGAAGGAGAAGTGAGGGCAGTTACATTTTTTTAATGGAAAAATGGGGAAGCTGACAGGAATGAATATAATTTAGAAGTTAGGAACTGCAGAAAACTAATAAGGGAAACAAAAGGACACAAGAAGTGTCAACAATCACGAGTTTACGTATATTAAGATTACAAAGAATCCTAGAGTTGGTCCATTACAAGATGAAAATGATAGGGTTGTCAATAATAAATGCAGAAGCTGTCAAATATTTCTGTTCTGTATCTGGGAAAAAGCCACATGATGATGACATAAATACTTTCCATTCTAACAGTAACTCAGGAGGATGTTAAATAGCAACTATTGAAGTTACACATTTTGATATCTGCAGGTCTGAGTAAAATACATCCAAGGGTTTTAAAAGTGTTGGCCCAGGAGCAATCTGGATCAGTAATGTCCAGTACCTGATTTTTAGTAACTCTTGGAACACTGGCGAACTTCCAGAGGATTGGAAGAAAGATAATGTTGTGACAGTATTTTAAAATAGTAAATTCGATCACCCAGGTAATTACAAGACTTTACAGAATGACAATGATCCTGGCAAAAATTTTGGAACAGCTGATACTGGACTCCATTAAGAATTAAAGGAGGGTAATATAATTAATGCTGATCAAAATGGCATCCGCTATGCTGTCTGGGGCCCCGGAAGAAAATAATTTATTAAAATGGGGTTGTGCTGGCAAAAAGTCTAAGAACTACTGGGCTAATGTGATTCTTGGATGTATAAACAGAAGAATATGGAGTAGGAGTAGAGAGTTTATATTAACTCTGTATTCGGCACTGATCTATCACTACTGGAATATTGCATCCAGTTCTGATGTTCACAATTCAAGAAAGATGTTGAAAAACTGGAAGGGGTTCAGAGAAGAGCCACAAGAATTAAAATAATGGAAAAAAAACCACCCCACTTTCCAGTGAAAGACTCAAGGAGCTCCATCTTACCAAACTGACAATTTAGGGGCAACTTGATCATAGTATATATGTACTTATTTACATGAGGAGCAGAAATTGATAATAGAGGGCTCTTCAGTCTAGCAGAAAAATGTATAACAAATCCAATAGCTGGAAGTTAAAGGTATGCCAGGTTAAACTAGAAATAAGTCACACATTTTTAACAGTAGATAGGATGGCATGGGGAGCCACAAGAAGGTGCTTGTTTGAAAATGTAACAAATGGGCAATGAGGGCTGCCATAACTGTCAGAGCAGAGGTATGATTCAACATTCTGACAGCATATAAGGCATGCTGGATAGGGTGGGTATAGGCTATGAAGTTCCTTAAAAGTGAAGACATGTAGTTGTTATTTGATGCAGTGGCAAACGTGGAATAACCAGAATGATGTAAAAAGAGGGGTGATATACTTGACGTGTCATGCCAGAAAAATTATCTTTGCAGCAGCATTGTGAATGAATACAAGTGGACAAGATGGGATTTGTCAAGGAAGAATATATAGATAGGAATTATTACAACATATTTCAAAAAGGGTTTTTAATGAAAAATGGGGTTAATATATTTTTAATGAAGTACTCTAAAAATAAGTTTGTTTGGGGCAGTTTTTTATTATTTGAGATTTCATGAGAGGACTCTGACTGCAACAGGTTTCATCCAAGCTCTCCAAATTTATCAGAACATTCTCCCAAACTAAAAACAGTTTTCCGCTTATGTTAAAAACTTTAAAAACTATTTTTCTCAACGTTATTTAAATATCATGAATAATAGAAAATATTGTGTGTGGCAGTAGCTGAATTTTTTAATAATCTTTAAATAGGGTGTGACAAAGTTCCTCCTCTTCCTTGGTAGGTCCTGCGCTTATTGGCGGATTTGCTCGCCTCAGAGATTCACGGCAGCCCTCAGTTTGGCCACTTTTGCTAGTGGCTCAAACCTGCTGTTCACTCGGCTAACCTCATCACTGGCCAGCATGGGGAAAGGGGAGTAAAACAATCCCCACAGTCTCTGCTGGTCGACCTAGTGGGTCAGGGGATAGGCTAAGGACCTTCCCCACAGTCCAGGTCACCTCCTCTTGTCTCAAATAGGGAGTTAAGAGGGATGGGGGGAACCCGGGCCAGCCCTCTACTCCGGGTTCCAGCCCAAGGCCCTGTGGATTGCAACTGTGTACAGTGTCTCTTGTAACAGCTGGGTGACAGCTACAACTCCCTGGGCTACATCCCCATGGCCTCCTCCCAACACCTTCTTTATTCTCACCATAGGACCTTTGTCCTGATGTCTGGTTAACGCTTGTTCTTCGCAGTCCTCCAGCAGTACGCCTACTCACTCTTAGCTTCTTGCGCCTCTTGCTCCCAGCTCCTCGCACGCACCTCACTAACTGAAGTGAGGTCCTTTTTAAAACCAGGTGCCCTGATTAGCCTGCCTGTCCTAATTGATTCTGGTAGCTTCTTTATTGGCTCGAGGTGTCCTAATTAGCCTGCCTCAATTGGTTCCAGAAACTTCCTGATTGTTCTGGAACAGCCCATTATCTTACTCAGAGTAAAGGGATCTGCTTAACCTGGGGCTAATATATCTACCTTCTATCACTCTCCTGTAGCCATCTAGCCTGACCCTGTCACAAGGGTAATTCAATGAAATCTTGAAAAGTTGAAACGAGAAATGGAACCTGATCTAGATTTTTGAAGTGAGAACAGAATCTTTAAACACATGAAGAGTATTAAAGCCTTTTTTGTGAAAATTACATACAAATACATTAAATACCTAAAACCTATGAATAAGACAAAATTTGTGTGTAAGTCCTTTAACAGAGAGTGTTTAGAATTCTTGTTCTTTTGACAAGACTACAAACAAGATAGTTATAAATAAAAGATGGGGCCAGATACTCAGCTGCTGTAAGTTGGTGCAGCTCCATTTATTCAGTGGAGCTATTCCAATTTACACCAGCTGAGAGTTTGGCTCATATGCTTTAACGTCTTTCAGCACAGATGAGATATGGCTGTGGTTGTAATGTCATGCCTAATTTTGGCTTCAGATTGGGAATCAAAGCATGTGGAAAATGCAGGTGAAATCGCTGAAGTAATGAAGTAAAAAACAAAAACATTTCCATCCTGGCCAGTTGTTCTCCAAGACAATGTCTTCTTCCTGAATAGAAAATATATATATATATTTAATGTATTTATGTTTGCACTTACATTTCAAAAAAGAATGGTTATTTCTGCTTCCAGTCTAAGGGGAGCTGTTTGGACACAATACTGGGTTTGATTCATAGGAAAGGATATGTGCAAATTATATTAAGGGTCATATTTTAAAAACATTTGTAGTTTTGACAACACAAGTACCACTGGATCGAATCCTGCAGTCTTAATTTAGGCAAAACTGCTAATGAGATCAATGGGATTTTTGCAAAAGACAACAAAATTGTGCCTACTGTCATCAATGTTCGTCACTAACTAAATTTCTGCACTTGTTTAAGTCTATTGCCAATCATCAGTTGGTAATTACCCACAAATATCACAGTAAAAGTGGGACTTTTGGAGGGATCTAAAATAGGATAGTGTAGTGGCTTTATCCACAAATTCTCATTCCATGCATAATAGGCAGCCTGGAAGCATAAAGGTGCTTGTGGGAGAAGCAGCTAAATAGACAGTCAAAGCTAGCAGAGTTGATGAAGTACAGGAGGCAAGAAGCAATGTTATAAGATACTAGAGCAGATAAATAGGAAGAGGTTAAATTACAAGTAACACATTTAATTTATTTTGTTCTAAAGCTTGAAAACACTCTCCAGATTCTTTAAGATGAAAGCCTTAGTCTGAAGGGTTTGAGGGTTTTGATATTTGCTCAATTGATTTAATTTAAAAAACCCATGTTATATGATCATTTGAATAATTAGAACACTCTATTCAGTAAATGCATCTGCAGCATCAATTAAGGAGTTCTAAATACTCTAGATTTCTGCTCCAGATCAGTTGTATTTATTCTCCCAAAAAGTGATCAATCGGAAAAACAACATTAGCTGACGTCCTAAACCCAAATTTAAAATAAGGTATTCAGATTTTGCAATATCAAGTGTTCAAAGATGGAAACTGGATTATGAAAAATTGAGCAGACACCAAAATCTAAGCAGCAAATGATTGCTTAGCCTAGCTGCATCAACTGCCAAACAAACAAAACTCAGTTAGAAACCACAATGACAGAGGCTGTGTAAAATCCTCAGATAAAACATACTTATAAAACATTAAGATGACATGATCAGTTTTTGTATCAAAATGTCCTTTAATTTATATAAGCGACAGCATTACATGACATTGCCAGTGTTGCTGGAACAATTTATATAGTGGGGGTGCTGAGAGCCATTGAACCAAACTGTAAACTATGTATATAATGGAAACCACTTCAAGCCAGGGGGTGCAACAGCACCCTTAATTCCAGCACCTATGGACATTACTAAGCCTCTGATGCACTGTATTAAATATAACTTTACAAACAATTGTTTTATCGTAAGTGTAGCTTTTTTACATCATGCTGTCTATTGTGGATCAGTTAACACTATTGTATATAGATGTATGAATTGGCATGAGCTCTTACCTAGTGAAAAAGGAACAAATGCATCTTTCTTGATGAACTGCCCACTGCTGTCCAAAAACCGTTCAGGATAAAACACTTCTGGGTTACTCCAGTACTTTTCATCGAAGTGTACAGAATAGAGGTTTGTAATTATTGTAGTGCCTTCAGGGATAGAATAACCACGCACAACTGTATCCTTAGAAGTTGCATGGAAAATACCTAATGGAGCTATATTACAGAACCTTAAAATTTCATGTAGAACTGCTTCAGTGTAAGGCATTTTGCATTTCTCTTCTAAAGAAGGTGTTTTGTTTGGACCCACAACCAAATCAATTTCTTTATGAACTTGCCCTGTTAGAGAAAAAAAATCTTTAGTTTATTGTGCAATACTTTAAAATTTAACTGTAAGGAATAAATACATAAATATTTTGTGTTAAGACTAGAAATGTCTTAGTACTGAGTGCAGCACCTAACAAGCCGGTATGGTAGATATTTTCAATTTTTAATTTCCTCTGGTACTCTCATTCCACTGCTGACAGTTTTTTCAAGCCCCAAAGAAATAGTAATTTCGCAACAAACTAGGGCCATAATCTTGATTCCTGTGTTTTTCTTCACTCAATAAGTTTCCCCTCTCAAGGAGCTCATCAGAATTGGGATAACTAACATCACATTCTAGATAGCTAAGATGAAGTATATTAAATGCAAAAAGAAAAAAATCAAACACAAGAGCAGATCATGTATAGAAAATTCAGAATTAAGAGCTACTTAAACTTTAATCTATCTAATTATCCCAAGATAGTACACCACATATGTTGTGTAAAATCACCCACTATTTTAAGAATCTTGAAATAGTTAGGCACAATATGGTAAAAGTCAGAGGAACAACTCAAGCTGGATTCTGGAATTTTTTGACTTTTTGGGATATGAATTTAATTACTTCTCTTTCAAACTCTCTTTTAAAAATGAAAAAATATAACTGGATCCTTTAAATCAACTGCACATTGAAAAATCACACAATAGTTTGCTCAACAGGGCAACAGCTCCTTTACTCTTTTTTTCTGATGTACTTTATCAGTGTGTTTGCTAATGCCATTATACAGCCCCTAAATCACATAAAATAGCAGTGATATAGCTTGAATGGCGTCAACACAGTATATCTAGACAATGAAGAACTATTACCAAGTTCTTAAAATGAAACTAACCTCTCCCATCCCAAAGAAAGTGCATGAGATAGATCAGACCAGAACCTTAGTGTATTTCGAAGTTGACTGGTAATTTTGATACAAGTTGAGATCCTCATGTGGAAAATGTCTGTATAAATGCAGGGTATTAATATTATTTACTGCTATGTAAAGAATCTGAACTTGAATCCTGAGCTTATTTTTCTCCCAAGAGCTAACAGAAGTTGAGATCACAGGAGAATTTTAGGAGAGAGGGATTACTTTGTGTTTTAACAGTACAGTGCCTCTTGAATGATCTGGCTGAGAGACAGAACTGCAAGAAGTGCCTAGTTTCTGTCCCCTGTTGGAAGATGATGATTTGGGTGAAAACCTAATACAGAAGGGAATAAGAATGTTTCTTTTTGTAAGGCCCGTAAGTTGCCAACTTAGCGACTTTGTCACTCGATTTAGTGACTTTTTGCTTTCCCTTGCAAGAAAATAAGTGTCAAAGTGACCAATGACAAATCTAGCGACTTTCACTGCCAATTACAGTGACATTCAGAGAAAGAAGTCACTAATATCTAGTCACAAAATCATTCACAAGCAGCTCAACAGTGTTAAAATCCATTCCATGATCTTTTTACTACATTCTGTTGCACACCAAGTCAATGTCATTATGTCTCAATTGAGTATGTCCTCAGAAGGAATCACATTCCAGGGCTTCTTCGGCTGAGATCACTATAATCTACAGATGAGGAAAATAAGTTTGTGGAGGCTAATTAAATACTTTGCTAAGAGAGAGCAGCACTTTGGAGAGAGCAGCTGTCATAAATATAAAGGGAAGGGTAAACCCCTTTAAAATCCCTCCTGGCCAGAGGAAAAATCCTCTCACCTGTAAAGGGTTAAGAAGCTAAAGGTAACCTCGCTGGCACCTGACCAAAATGACCAATGAGGAGACAAGATACTTTCAAAAGCTGGGAGGAGGGAGAGAAACAAAGGGTCTCTGTCTGTCGGTATGCTGCTTTTGCCGGGGATAGACCAGGAATGGAGTCTTAGAATTTTTAGTAAGTAATCTAGCTAGGTATGTGTTAGATTATGATTTCTCTAAATGGCTGAGAAAAGAATTGTGCTGAATAGAATGACTATTTCTGTCTGTGTGTCTTTTTTGTAACTTAAAGTTTTGCCAGGGTTTGTTTTTAACCCAGATGTGTTCTTTCTTGCCACTCCACAGTAGGTATCACACCCTGTGATGCAGGGAAAGATGCCTAATGAAGTGGGTAGGGTGGGGGAGGCAGGTTAGCCAGCGAGGAGCGCTGCACGGATAGAAGATGGGGTGGTATGAGACAGGGGCACCGGGCCTCCAGGAATGAAGCCCTTACTACAGGATCAAAGGTGGAACTAGCTTGATTTCAGTTCCCCTTTACTCCTTCCCCTGGCTTGGCCTGGGGTTAGCTGCCCAGCTGTTTTCAGAAATGAAACCCTGGAAATAGGGGGAAGGGGTCCAGCTAACGGATTTTTGTTTTTAAATCTACTTTCTTGGCTCCCTGCAGTGCCGAGCTCAGGTCAGGTGAATGATCTCTTCCCCCTGGTTCTGGGCTCTCCCTTTCACTAACCTGTTGGCTCAAATCCAGGCTGGCAAGAAAGGAAGGCTCAGCTGAAATTAACCAACCTCAGTCAACTTGGGCTGCAGTGTACAGAGTGCCCTTCCTAATGAACAGAGGGCTGCAGTTTCCTTCCCAGTGAGCAGAGGGCACTCTCTTTATGATAACAGTGTACTGTTGTAGTTGCTTCTGGTATGCAACAGAATGTAGTAAGAGCATGGGATGGATTATATTAAACCCTGTTGAGCTGCTTGTGAATGATTTTGAGACTGTACTTTGGGAGGGGGGTGTGTGTATACATATATAATTCTCTGGAAATTTTATGTGACATTTTTTACTCCTTTTGAGTGCTTAAACAGCTACATCTAGCGACTTTTCAGGGTTTGTCTGGTGACTTCCTGTATGTGGAGTTGGCAATGCTTTATGCTGCTTGTAAGGTGAGAATGATCCTGTATTATGAGGAAATTAAAAGAGTAAATATAACTAGTTATGAAGGTAATTATTAGCCTTCAATTTTTTCCCTTTTATCTCATGCCATATACATACATACAAACATATATTGCTATCCCCTGGCCATATAAATTTGGAGTTCAGGAAACCCTTTTGATGAAATAGAGGCCCTCCAAAATGTATAAGATATTTTAAGTGATGGCCCCCATGCAATAACAATCACAATTTCTGTGGAATCACCAAGATGTACAGGAGAGCATGGTTAAACCAATTAAACTAATGTATGAAAATTAAACACTGAGCAGAAGTCCCTGCTGGTGTTAATAAGCACAGTTTCATTGAGGTCAAGGCAGCAGCATCCATTTACATGAGCAGAAAATTTTGCCCATCATATATAAAATAGCAACTTTTCACACATTAATATTTGAGACACTTAACTGGCCTCTTCCCCTAAGTATTAAAAAGTCTTAGTTCAACCTAAGCACTTACAAGGTTGTGATATGAAAAAAATCTTTTCTCAGAAGGTGTGTGAACTCATAAAGGAAGTTAACTAATGATATTTAATGTCTAAGCTTCCACACTAAAACTTCAATGTGACCATTTTCAAAAATACATGTTAGCATTGTACTTCAGAACTAAGCTAACACTGGTTATGTTTTAAAATGCTCATATTGTCTTTTTTCCCCCTAATGATCAATGTAAATATATATAAGTGTATAGAACATAAACCTGTCATGGATTGATGCACTTAAGGATTAAAAAATGGTTCAGTTACCCAAAATCTGATTTACACTTTTTTGCTGATTGTGTTCTTCTGCCAGCCAGTATTCTGAGTCGTCATATTGTTCAACCTACACATAATAAAAGTAAATCTCTCCTTATTAAAAAAAAAAAAACTTCACTGAATTGCTTACAAAAAAAAAACCCTTAAAATGTTATCCTAATGGTATCTTGATACCCGTTTTAGCTGCAGATAAAAAAGCACTGGCATGTCTGTCTGCAATACATTAAGAAAGGGACATAATGGCGTAATGCGCACGAATTTTTATTTTTACTAAGGATTAGTATTAGCAACACCAACACACCATGTTGAAAATGCACTCTAAATTCTCACCATAAAGGCTACAATATCAGTTCCTCAAAAATGACAAAAATTCTTACCTTGAATGTTCGGATAAAGAGCCATAAACAATACTGCCCATCTTAAAACATTAGTTGTGGTTTCTGTTCCAGCTATGATGAGTTCTCCAACAGAGAAAATTAAATTTTTGGTTGAATATGTAGACTCTGGATCATTTTCACTTCGATCCATTTCATCTAGATATGCATCAATGAAATGTCGAGGTGACTGAGGCTTCCTGTTTTTAGAAACACGCTCAATAAGTTCAAGCAAAAAGTTATAGACTTCAGCTGCATTCTTAAACAGTTGTTGATGTTTTCCAAAGGGTAATATGCCAATCCAGGGAAAAGAATTATACAAGAACACTGAAGCACTAGCAACTAATTCAATGTTTTCACTAAAAATCTCTATCATGTGCTGAAATTCAGTGTCTTCATATGTAAAACGTTCTCCAAAGATAATCAAATTAGTAATGTTTGAGACTGCATTTGTTATCAAGTGTTTAAGATCAAAGGGTCTGCCTTTGTATGTATCAATGGCATCAAGAAAAAACATGGATTCTTCTGAAATTTTGTGTTCAAAGGACTTTTGACCATATCCAAAACAACGAAAGCTGCTTACAGCCAACTTGCGATGCTCTGTCCATCCTCTACCATATCTGGAGTTCAATAAACCTGAAAATACATTTTAAACAGTATTTTATGCACAGCTCTATATCCTTATTCAACAGATAACAAAACTATGAAAAACAGCAGTCCATTCTAAAAGTAAATTCACAAAATAGAGATGCCCCAGTGTCTTGGTTAGTGGTAATGTTCACTCCAATGCAGGAAAGATTCAGAAGTCTATTTCCTCATTAACGTATATGAATATTGTGACCCAAAGCACCTGTGTATTCCACAGCCTACACAATATTGTAATAATATGCCTTGTGACATATCATTTGAAAACAAATAACTAGCTGGTCAATAAAGTTATTAATTCCTTCTGTATGATGTTATTAAGAAATGTTCAAAACCAGACCACTCTGCCTAGGAAAAAGTTGTTAAACAGGTCTGTCCTGAAACAAAGGAATGTGTGTTTACCCCAGTTTACATGTAAGTAGTAAACAGGACCATCAAGACAGCCAGGGGAGGAGATGGCAGGAAACAGAACAATTTGCATTTCAGCAAACACAGAAGGGAGAAGAAAGAGCATGGAGCTTCCTTCACCACCAGACTCCATGTTGCCTTCCTCACAGCTTGAATAAACTTTACTTTGAGGGGTATCATTCAGGAGAATCCACTTCAGAGATTCAATGGACTATAAACAAAAGGGTCAGAGAACCCCAAGTTATCACTTTCACCTAAGATGATAAAGGCACCAGAACCTCTAGCCTCTGGAAGAGATCCTGATCAAGGAGAGGGTAAGTCACCCTCTTGCTAGAAGGCTGAGAGTGATAAAGGCCTTCTTGAACAAAGCCTTCAACCAAAACTTGCTAAAATAAGTTTAGATCTGTGTTTAAACTTTTATTTCCTCGTGGCCATATCTAACTTTATCTCTTATTCTTGAACTCACTTAAAATCTATTAAAAATTATTAATCTAAACTAACAGTACCATGTTTGTACTAAAGTGAATGTCAACTCCAGTTAATGTAGGAAACTGGTGTGTTTTGTCTCCTTAAAGAAGCAAATTAACTATATTATTTCTTTTAACTAGGAGAGAGCTGAACATTATAGTGCACATGATTTTGGGAAGTTTCAGGACTGGAAGTGTGTTGGGTTCACTCTGCAAGTAGTAACCAAGACTGGTGAAAACCAGAGTGGGGCTATACACAGGCTATGATGGTCCGAGCTGCTAAACCACGGGTGTATAGCACACAGACACTCAGGGTGTGACCTGCATGATGGTAGGTTGGTAGGGAGCTACAACAACAAATATTGCAAAACACCCAATGTTGCAGGTCAGGCAGTGATAACCCCTCATTAGTCTGGACTGCACTCCAGAACATGATGTGTATTTATTAGTAATTACCTCAAATCCTAATGAGAGTTATGTACATCTCTGTGAAAAGATGGGATAATAGACACTTTGTCTCTAAGACAAAAACAAAAAACCACACACACCAGCAAAACAAGAAAAAGGTTAATCATTTCAGTCTCCCAGTGATAAGTTGCACAGTGTATATGCCAATGAATAAAGGATGGCTCTGGATACAGATAGGTAGCACCTTTATTTTCCCACCCTCACCTATAATCTCAGAGTGTCAGGCACTTGGCTTCTTAATTATACTATAGCAATTCATGTTTTATCTAATATAAAGGCCTTCCTATGTGTCAGGGTTCCCTCCCCACTCTGAACTCTAGGGTACAGATGTGGGGACCTGCATGAAAGACGCCCTAAGCTTATTTCTACCAGTTTAGGGTAAAACTTCCCCAAGGCACAAACTCTTTGCCCTTGGAGGGTACGCTGCCACCACCAAGTGATTTAACAAAGAATCAGGGAAAGGACCACTTGGAGTTCCTATTCCCCCAAAATATCCCCCCCCAAGCCTTTACACCCCCTTTCCTGGGGAGGCTTGAGAATAATATCCTAACCAATTGATTACAAAGTAATCATAGACCCAAACCCCTGGGTCTTAGGACCATAGAGAAATCAGTCAGGCTCTTAAAAGAAACAGAACTTTATTAGAAAGAAAAAAGGTAAAAGAAGCTCCTCTGTAAAATTAGAAGGGAAGCTGATCTCACAGGGCAATCAGATTTAAAACACAGAGGATTTCCCTTTGGGCAAAAACTTTAAAGTTACAAAAAGAAAACCAGGATTACACCTTCCTCTCAGCACAGAGAAAATCACAAGCCAAAACAAAAGTAAACTAACACATTTCCTTGCTAGTACTTACTAATTCTAATGGAGTTGGATTGCTAGCTTTCTTGATCTTTCTCCGGCAAGCACACAGAATAGACAGACAAAAGCCTTTTCCCCCCCGCCTAGATTTGAAAGTATCTTGTCCCCTTATTGCTCCTTTTGGTCAGGTGCCAGCCTGAGCTTCTTAACCCTTTACAGGTAAAAGGATATTGTGCCTCTGGCCAGGAGGGATTTTATAGTACTGTATACAGGAAGGTTGTTACCCTTCCCTTTATATTTATGACACTATGTAATACAGAATGGGGTTGGGGTTATGCTCTTATTTTTTATATACTGACACACTTTTAGCTATGGGAGAAAATTTAGAAGAGAAGGTTACTCACCTTGTGCAGTAACTGAGGTTCTTCAAGATGTGTCTCCCTGTGGGTGGCTCCACTTCAGGTGTCAGTGCGTCCTGGCACCATCAATAGAAGATTTTCGATAGCAGTGTCCATCAGGGCCATGCATGAGCAGTAGCTGTCTTGCAGTGCCATTGGCACCTTGACTAGCATGTGCACAACCCAACACCCTCAGTTTCTTCTATACTGTAGAGTCCTTACTGCAAACTCTGAAGCAGAGGGGAGGAGCGTGGGTAGATAGTGATCTTGTTGAATAAGCCCTGATGCGGGTTCTATTTTGAGTTGGTCGTAACCCATCTAGATGCAGTTGGAAATCCATTTCGATAGTCTCTCTGAGTGGATACCGCAGAGCCTTTGGAACACTCTGTCTTTGAAACAAAAAGCCTTGGAGACTTTCAGAAGGGCTTTGTTCTGTCCAAGTAAAATGCTAACGTGTGTTGGATACCCAACATATGTAGGACAGTCTCTTGTGTATTCACATGAGGTTAGGGATAAAACATAGGTAGTGAATCGGCTAATTGAAGTGGAAAGAGGATGATATTTGGGATATAAATTTTGGATGTGGTCTCAATGTGACTGTTCTGGAAGAATATGGTGTATGGGGGATGAGCCATAAAAAGAGCCTCTATTTTGTTTTTGCGGATGTAATTGTGACCAGGAACACCACCTTCATTGATAAGTGGAGAAGGGAGCAGGTGGCTAGTAGCTCAAAAGGGTCTCTGGGTAAGGCTTTTGAGCACCAAGTTTAAGTCTCATGGGTTCGCCTATTTCTGGGTACACATTTTATATACCTTTGAGAAAACGTTTTGTCATCAGGTGTGCAAATACCGATATGCCATCAACCTTACGGTGAAAGGCGGTAATTGCTGGTAGGTGTACTCTAGCCAAGCCTGTGGAAAGCCCTGAGTTCTTTAGTTCTAGTATGTATTCCAAGCCTAATGGGAGTGGTGCCTTAAGTGCAGATACATGCTTGTTCTGGCAACATAAGGAGAATCTCTTCCATTTTTGGACGTAAGTGGTACGTGTGGTTGGTTTTCTGCTGTTTACTAACCCCTGTTTTACTTGTTCCGAACAGGTTAATTCATCATGGAGGAGCCACATCCTTGTGAAGTTTCTCCAGGCTCGGATGGAGGACCTGACCTTCATCTTGCGAGACAAGATCCCGTTGCAAAGGGAGATTGTGTGGCAAACACATTGCCATGTACCTCAGGTATGGGTACCAGGTCTGCCTGGGCCACGTCAGAACTATAAGTATGACTTTGGCTTGTCGATCTGTATCTTGTGTATTACTCTGAATTTTAGTGGTATCGGTGGGAATACATACAGGAGAGGAGCATCCCATCTGATGAGAAAGACGTTCCCCTTAGGGATTGTGGTCTTAGGCCTACTCATGAGCAAATCTGAGGACATTTGTTGTTTCATGCTGTCGCAAATAGGTCGATGCAGAACCCCCACATTTGGAATATGTGTTGTACGATACTGTCATTTGGTTCCCGTTCGTGGTCTTGGGAAAAATATCTGCTTAATGCGTCTGCCTTTGTGTTCTGGCAGCCCGGGAGGCATGAAGTGGTAATGGTGACTTTGTGATTTATGCATCAGTTCCATAATTTTATGGTCTCTGTGTATAAGGAATGAGAACAGGCTCCTCCCTCTTGATTTATGTAGAACATACATGCAATGTTGTCTGTCATGACTCTTACTATTTTGTTTTTTATCATTGGGAGGAAGTGATCACACACGTTGTGAACCACGTGCAGTTCGAGCAGGTTGATGTGTAAGTGTCTCTCTGAGGGAGACCACTTCCCTTGGATTGTATGCTGATTCAAGTGTGTGACACAGTCGATCTGCCAAACATCTGTTGTGATCACTATGGATGGTGGATCCTGTTGGAATGGCATCCCTGAGGGGGATAGCGTAACCCAACTGTATTATTTCCAAGACCCATTGATTCGTAGTAATGGATGCCCAAGTGTGAATAGAATGGGCGCAGTTGGTGACCAAAGATCTCCATCATTGCTGGAGAATGGTGGCACGATGGGGGAGTCAGGTTGCTCCGGCGTCGTCAGTACCAGTGACCCCTTGGTACAATATAGTGGTGAGCATGGGGGTGGAAGATACCGCCTTGTCCTCCTGATGCATAAATTGGTGCAGTGCTGTCAGGGTTCCTTCCCCACTCTGAACTCTAGGGTACAGATGTGAGGCCCTGCATGAAAGACCCCCTAAGCTTATTTCTACCCCAGCTTAGGTTAAAAACTTCCCCAAGGCACAAAGTCTTTGCCCTTGGATTAGGTAAAATGCTACACCCCCAAGTGCTTTAGACAAAGAACAGGGAAAGGACCACCTGGAGTTCCTATTTCCCCAAAATATCCCCCCAAGCCCTTACACCCCCTTTCCTGGGGAGGCTTGAGAATAAACAAGATGAGCACAAACCCCTTGGATTTTTAAGACCCAAAAAACCCAATCAGATTCTTAAACATCAGAACTTTATTAGAAGAACAAAGAAAAGGATCTGAGAACAACTCTGTAAGATCAGAATGGAAGATAATCTTACAGGCAGTCAGATTCAAAACATAGAGAATCCCTCTAGGCAAAACCTTAAGTTACAAAAAGACACAAAAACAGGAGTACACACTTCCTCCAGCACAGCAAATTTACAAGCCAAAAAACAAAGAAAACCTAACACATTTTCTAGCTAGATTACTTACTAATATTACAAGAGTTGGAAGGCTTGCATCCTTGATCTGTTCCCAGCAAAGGTATCACACAGACAGATAACCCCCCCCCCACCTTCCAGATTTGTTCATTGGTCATTTTGGGTCAGGTGCCAGGGAGGTTACCTTAGCTTCTTAACCCTTTACAGGTGAAACGATTTTGCTTCTGGCCAGGAAGGATTTTATAGCACTATATACAGAAAGGTGGTTACCCTTCCCTTTATATTTATGACAGGTGCCATGGACTTCAGTGCTGTACCCTTTGGTGCTGACGTTTTTGAAGGTGCTGTGGTCAGAACCGATTGTTTATGAGTTACCACTGGTGCCAATACTGTTGCAGACACCAGAGGTGGGGGTATTGGCATTAAAGGCTGTGGTACCATCGCCTTCACTGTGTTGTTGGTACCGTGGAGAAGGAGTTTGGCTTTTGTTTGCCTCTCGACTCCTTAACCTTGCTAGTAGAGGTCCCAGTGCAGGTGGTGCCGGAGGACCCTGGTGCATCAAAGGTGCTCACTCTTGGCGTAGTTGGCACTGAGGATAGCAACCTTGCAGGAGACTGTTTTCTTTTCAATGGCTCTCTCTGCTGAGGTGATGTGTCTCTTCTCCTTGCTTTCTTGGAGGAGTGAGTACTTGTTGACTTGCCCAGAGAGTCCTGGTTGGGGAGTTCTGCTGTCCAGATTCAGAAGCTGATTGAAGGGATTTCTCCATGAGAATGAGTTTAAGTTGGAGATCTCTGTCCTTTCTGGTTCTGGCTTTAAGGTTGCTTCAGTGAGCGCACTTTTGTGGTATGTGTGACTCACATAAGCAATGGACATAGAGTGAATGGCCAACAGAAATTGGCACTGCGTCCTTACACAAGGAACATCTTTTGAAACCTGGTGAGCCAGGCATGTTTTAATGTCCCTTTTTGATGTTATTTTTAAATGAAATAAAGATTTCTTTTAAGGGAAACAGAAAAGGGGATGAGAAATATATAGACTGGTAACTTACTAAACCTAACTAACACTAATAACTGCTAACTAATTCTAATTATTTTCTTTAGGTTGTCTTTCGACATCGCCATGGGGCTCTGTCTCAGGCAGAGGATGGTTAAGAAGGAACTGAGGGGCAATCAGGTCATGCGTGCTAGTCAAGGCGTCAACAGCACCATGAGACAAATACTGCGCACGCGCGGCCCTGACAGACACTGCTACCGAAAATCTCCAATTGACGGTGATGGGACACATCAACATCTTAAGTGGAGCACCCACAGGGACAGCACTTGAAGAAGAATTATTTCTTATGGACACAATGATTGACAGTGATTTCCTCCCCTCCTTTTTTCACCAACTGATTTCTTCTGATACGGAGTTTTGTGTTCCACACTGCTTATCTCAGAGTATGTGTTATACCAGTACCCAATAATCTGCACACCTAATAACACATTTTCAGGTTTAGTTCAAACTGTTAGTTTTTAGAGTCCTGCATGGTTTGAAACCCAGTTACTTGTGAGACTGCTTCTCTCTGTGTGTGATACTGCTATACTAGCTATCAGAGAAGACACGCAAGTCAGAGATCCCTCAGTTTAAATGAGAAACTGATGGCAGGGCATTCTCCAAGAAGAGACCTTACTTGTACTGCTTGGTCCACCAGTGTGTATTGTTTGTGTTCACTACAAAGCCCATCTTTTCTCTTGGGTATCTAGGAGGTAGTCAGTTGATGGGACAAGAAATATTGCTTTAATGGTAAGGTTATTATGTGACAACTACATTTTATTATACTTCTAGGCAGTTCAATAGGTTAAACCAGTGGTCCCCAAACTGTGGGGCATACCCCCCGAGGGGGGCATGGAGGAACATTCGAGGGTAGGGAGGGCGCCTGGCAGGGCCCAGGTTAGCCCCACAGGGAGTACGGAGGAAGCACCACTCTGCCCACAGTCGCAGCACCACTTTGTCCCCTGCTCTGGCCCCAGCTGCAGCTCTGCTCCAGCCCCAGTTCCACTCCACCTCCAGCTAATCTCCAGTTCCAGCCACAGTTCCACTCTGCCCCATCCCCAGTTCTGCCCTCATTCTCTCTCCCTCCCTAGGCCAGCTCTGCCTCTAGCCCCAGCTTCTCCCCCATCCCCAGTTCTGCCTCCAGCTCTGCCATTAGCCCAAGCTCTTCTGCTGAGCCAACTGTGCAGTAATGGAGGGAGGATGCGGATAGATTCCATTACTGGTAAGGGGTGTGTGTGCAACAGGAAATATTTGGGCACCTCTGGGTTAGACATTTAAAAAAATGTACTAATGTTGTTTTTATACTGAATTTTAGACTGACAATGAATAACAAAAAAAAAAAAAATAACCAAAGTGAACTCATATGACAAAATGTTGAAGCCACAGTACTATATTGAAAAGAAAAGGAGTACTTGTGACACCTTAGAGACTAACAAATTTATTAGAGCATAAGCTTTCGTGAGCTACAGCTCACTTCATCGGATGCATAGAGTGGAAAAGCTCACGAAAGCTTATGTTCTAATAAATTTGTTAGTCTCTAAGGTGCCACAAGAACTCCTTTTCTTTTTATGGATACAGACTAACACGGCTGCTACTCTGAAACCAGTACTATAGTGGTAGTCTGTAGTGATTTCTATAGTTAAGTGAATTCTAACTTCTGTATAGGCTTCCATTTTTCAGATGCTCATGTTTATGTCCATGTCCACGATTTAGCTGTGCAATACTTGGAAATAAAAAACCCCATACTGTTGTGGATTCTATTCTATACAGATTATTTGATGTCCCTCATCAACATAGTAATCACTGAAGTGCTCTGAGCAACCTGACTAGTGTTTGTTCCATGTAGTTCCTTCTTTCTCTCTTCCTCTCTCGAAGGAGAAATTGTGTGGGTTTTTAATAAATAATTTTAATATATTATATGTGAACTCTGTGTTTATATTAGCAAAACGAAGTCATGGTTTGCACTTGGAACTAAAGGTGGTGAAGTCTGTATGATGCCTCATATTTGACAACTGCTCCCTCTTCTCCTGTTTTATCTATGTCAGTTGCAAAATATGTACACAGCCATGCTTACAAGGCCAGTTGCCACAACGAGGTATTTACCTTGTGAGAATTCCCTCAGGGAAGAATAACTTTAAATTCCAGCTGAGCTTCATAGGATTCCCACCAGTGAAGGCTGCCCCAGGAGAGCTGCTAAATCAGCACATCTCCTGGCTAGTCTGGGCCAGTTTTGCCAACTTGACACTCATAACCTCTGGGTGGAGTGAGATTCAAGGGTGGTTTGTACCACTACATCACTGCTTCTGGTGGATTTTCTGTTGCTGGATCACAGAGTCCAGATCCTACATCCAAAAATTAATCTAGACTATTACTTCTTCACCATTACACAGAGAGGGTCCACAGTCAAAACACTTCAATTGTGGACAACTCAAGGAGCCTAAAGGTTTAAAAGACCCTATTTGTCTTTTACCTCAATTATTATATTGGAAAATTGATTCTACATGAATTTAAAAGGTGAATTAAGAGTTTCAAAATTCTGCCTTTGTCTTTCTCAAAAAGATCAGTTCATTTCTTTAATGCGTCTAGGTTTGGCATAGGCCCAGGAAAAATTAATGAGCAAACTTATAACAAAATTATATTTTGAATGACAAAGCATGAGAAGATTTTTTGATTCTACTTGAGTTGGGAAGGATAGCAACAGAGCTCTGAATGAGAGTCAAAATAGTCTACAGCCATGAAGATTTTAATGCAAGGTCTAACTATATCTCAAATGAAAAGTAAAATTTATTGGCATCATACTGCCTTCTTCACAGTTGAGATGGAACAAAAGCCCACTCATCCAAAGAGAAGCAAAGCTCTGCATTCTAGGAATTTTAGTCTTTATTTTGCAAGAATGCATATATATGATGTGTGCACACAAAATCTGGTTTAGTTACTCTTCTTACTACTTAAATATGTTAGTTAATGTTTGCCCCCAGTTCACCTGGAATGGGGGAAGGGAGGAATGGCAAAATTACCCAGTCCAGTGACCAGAAAGTAGTATAGAAGAGAAAATGGGGAAGAGAGAAGCAATCTACGTTAAGAGAGCTAGCTGGACTTGAGTAATTAAAGCCTGAGGGAAAATATTCCTGAGTCCAAGACACTGGCAATCAGCATTCCAACTCAATTCAGTGAAATGCTATTTCTTGTAAAATGTAGAATAATTCATTCTCCTGGACTGTGAGGTCTAATAATTTTTTTTTTTTTTGGTTATGGCAGCGTGAGACCACCTTCCTATTGATCATCCCGGATCCACATTGATGAAAAACTCATAGAAAACAAATTAACACACAAAAAGGGCTAGACCTGCACGGGAGGCAGGAATGAACACAAAAGATATTCAAACAAGATCAATACTGAGCAACTGGAAGACTTGAAGTGGCAGATGAAGAAGTGTAGCTTCTGCATAGACTTCTTTCCCTGACCATTGTCAAAAAAGTGACTGAAAAGTTCCAAAGTCAACAGTGCCCTGGGTTGTGTGTGATCACCAGTGAGGAGGGAGGGGACTCATGCTGCAACCTGCTACCACAGACCATAGGAACATTAACTTTAGAGCTTAAAGAATTCTACTTCCCTTACTCAGGCGCACAGCCCAAGTATGGGACTCTTTCCCAGACACTATCTTTAGAAAAGTGTCAAATATTCTGGAATAGGAGATGAAAAGATTGGGAAAGTAATCTAAAGCAAGTATCCAATGTAATAAGAAAATATCTTCTCTTTCATGACAGCAGCACATACCTCCCATATTTGTCAACTTCTTGAACAAAGGAAGAGATGGTCTGTCTGCAAAAACTTCACTTTGATGAACCAGGCATTCTTTTACGGCATCATAACCATTCAGTACAATAGCAGATATACCTCCAAGATCAAGACTGAAAATCTTTGAAAAGAACAAATGAACAAAAGTGCACTTGTAAAATTAAACTGCAAGTCATTTTCAAGAATAAGTAATGGAGACAATACTGGAAAAATTAGAACTAAGCATCACTACCATAAATATTTCGTAAGCTGTTTCCAGATTGCAAGTATAAACATTGTTCAGAGTAATCTTTTCTCCATAAACTTTAGATTGTAAAATCTTTAAGGCTGGGACCATGTCTCTATGTATTTTTTGAACAGTGCCAACTACAATTCAGCCCAAATTCTGTCTGAGGCTTTTGAACACTCCTGCAATAGAAAGATATTGAATTGACAGTTCTATGAAGTCCTCTGTTTATTATGAGTATTCTTTATCCACAGAATAGGTGTGCCATGCAAGCTTCACGAAACTATCTCCTATTCTGATTTGCAGGGACCAAGTGAGAAGAAAGTTTCATCACCATGCCTATGTAACCACACGTCTCTCTCACAGTTTCAACAGTGTTAGAAGAGTTTGGCTATGGACCCCTGTACCCTAGTAGTGGACTGAAACCACTAGCTCATTCCACACTGACCACCAAAAAGCCATCAAATGATGACAGCCACAACAGTTGTGCCAGCATGACAACCATCAAATTATGAGATGGTCCATCTAGACCCATTTCCTGTCTCTGAAATTGGCCACCAACTCATTTCACATAGGCCACTAAAGAATCATCAAATGATGATACCCCCATGACGACAGCCAACAAACGATAGCATGGTCCATCTAGTCCTGTACCTGTCTCCAGAAGTGGCCTAGATGCTTTAGAGGAACATGCAATAAATCCTGTTGAAGGCAGATATGGGATAATCTGCCCCCAACTAATGTCTTGTCCTAACAGCTAATAAAGATTAGCTTAACCCCTAAGCATGAGGTTTTATATTACTTTCAAACCTTTTTTTAGTATTATAACTGGATATTCTTATTACCCATATGACTAGGGCCCTACCAAATTCACAGTCCATTTTGGTCAATTTCACGGTCATAAGATTTTTTTAAAAACTGTGAATTTCACAATTTCAGCTATTTAAATCTGAAATGTCATGGTGTTGTAACTATAGGGGTCCTGACCCAAAAAAGAGTTATAGAGGGGTTGCAAGGTTATTGTAGGGGGTTGCGGTACTGTTACCCTTACTTCTGCGCTGCTGCTGGCGGCAGCACTGCCTTCAGAACTGGGTAGCTGGAGAGCGGCGGCTGCTGGCCGGGAGCCCAGCTCTGAAGGCAGAGCCACCGCCAGCAGCAGCCCAGAAGGATGGTATGGTATGGTATTGCCACCCTTACTTTTGCACTGCTGCCCACAGAGCTGAGCCCTCAGTAAGCAGCTGCCACTCTCTGGCTGCCCAACTCTGCAGGCAGCAGCGCAGAAGTAAGGGCGGCATGGTATGGTATTGCCATCCTTACTTCTGCGCTGCTGTTGGCGGGGTGCTGCCTTCAGAGCTGGGCAGCCAACAGCCACTGCTCTCCGGCCACCCCACTCCGAAGGCAGTGCAGAAATAAGGGTGGCAATACTGCAACCCCCCCTGCAACTCCCTTTTTTGGGTCAACACACCCAATTTGAGAAATGCTGTTCTTCCCCTTTGAAATTTGTATAGTATAGAGTAAAATCACATAAAAGACAAGATTTCACAGGGGGAGACCAGATTTCACACTCTGTGACTCTTTTTTCATGGCCATGAATTTGGTAGGGCCCAATGACTGTCATATGACTGTCCAATCCCACTTTGAAACTTGCTGAGCTCTTGGCCTCCATTACAACCTGTGGCAAAAAGTTTCAAAATCTAATTATGCTTAGTGTGAAACAGTATTTCCTTTTATCAGTTTTGAATTTGCGGCCTTTCAATTTCTTTGGCTGTCCCCCTTGTTTTTCTTTTATGAGACGGGGAACAGAAACTCTTAATTTACTTTCTCTATACCATTCATCATTGTGCATACTTTTACCTTGTTCCCACTTACTTATTTTCTTTCTAAAGTATACAATCCCAGACTTTTCAATCTCTCTTCAAAAGTTTTTTTCCAGGCCCCTAATCATCATCATTACCCTTCTCTGAGTCCCCCACAATTTTGCAAAATCCTTTCTGAGATAAATTGACCAGTACTGCATACGGTATTCCAGGCAAAGGCAAATTATTGATCTATATAGTGACATAATATTTTTCATATTATTTTCCATCCCATTTCTTATGCATCCTTTAATTTGGTTTGCTTTTCTGACAGCAGATAAGGCAACCATAACATTTTGCCATTATGGAAAATTAACCATTTATTCCTACTCTTTGCTTTCTGTCTCCTAGCCTGATTTTAATTGACAATACTTTGCCTCTCACCCATGACTACTTAGTTTCTTTAGTAGTCTCTCAATAAAGAAACTTGTCATAGGTCTTTTGAAAGCCTAAATTGTCAGCCAGTTCTTCTTTATCCATTACTATAGTGATATTCAATTATAAAAGGCATAATTCTCCTTGAGAAACCACCATGCTTGTTGGACCCTATCAAACCACAATCTTCCACACATTATTAAATATTAATTATTGTCTTGACCTATTTACTCGGAATAGACATAGGTTTACTGGTCTGTAATTCCCTGGATCACTACTAGAACCCATTTCTACCCCTGCTAGGTAAGAGATTGAAGTCCAGGACCTCCATGGTAGCATTCTCTGAGATGCTCCCAGTTCCACGCGCAGGGCCGGTCAGACAGACAGGCCAAACTGCAAGGTCTCAAAGCAGGGATGAGACGATGGTGTAGGGAGGAGAGGTTTAGATTTATTAGGAACTGGGGAAACTTTTGGGAAGGGGGGAGCCTATACAGGAAGGATGGGCTCCACCTAAACCAAAATGGAACCAGATTGCGGGCACTTAACATTAAAAAGGTCGTAGAGCAGTTTTTAAACTAAGGACTGGGGTTAAGCCGAGAGGTGTGGAGGAGCACATGATTCGAACATCCCTTAGGGGAGGATCTATTAATAGAGAATCTCTGTGCCCTAGTGAGGACCAGAGGATGGAAAATGATAAAAACCAGGTAGGGTCTGATCAGAAACAGTCAAATAAAAAAGAGTCCCATTCAATTACATTGTGTAATGGCAGACAGCTAAAAGGAGACAAGTTCTTAAAGTGCTTATATACCAATGCTAGAAGTCTAAATAATAAAATGGTGAACTAGAGTGCCTTGTATTAAATGAGGATATTAATATAACAGGCATCACAGAAACTTGGTGGAATGAGGATAATCAATGGGATACAGTAATACCAACGTACAAAATATATCGGAAGGACATAACAGGTTGTGCTGGAGAGGGAGTGGCATTATATGTGAAAGAAAGCGTAAAATCAAATGAAGTAAAAACCATAAATGAATCAAACTGTACCACAGAATCTCTACAGATGGAAATTCCATGTTCTAATAATAAGAATATAGCCATAGGGATATATTACCAACCACCTGACCAGGATCGTGATAGTGACTATGAAATGCTCAGGGAGATCAGAGAGGCTATTAAAATAAAAAACTCAATAATACTAATGGGGGATTTCAATTATCCCCATATTGACTGGGTACATGTCACCTTAGGACGGGATGCAGAGATAAAGATTCTTGACACCTTTCATGACTGTTTCTTGGAGCAGCTGGTCCTGGGACCCACCAGAGGAGAGGCAATTCTTGATTTAGTTCTAAGTGGAGCACAGGATCTGGTCCAAGAGGTGAATATAGTTGGACCGATTGGTAATAGTGACCATAATATAATTAAATTTAATATCCGTGTGGCAGGAAAAACACCACAGTAGCCCAACACTGTAGCATTTAATTACAGAAAGGGGAACTACACAAAAACAAGGTGGTTAGTTAAACAGAAATTAAAGGGTACAATGCCAAAAGTGAAATCTCTGTAAGTTGTGTGGAAACTTTTTAAAGACACCATAATAGAAGCTCAACTTAAATATATACCCCAAATTAAAAAACATAGTAAGAGACCCAAAAAAGAGCCACCGTGGCTAAACAACGAAGTAAAAGAAGCAGTGAGAGGCAAAAAGACATCCTTTAAAAAGTGGAAGTTAAATTCTAGGGAGGAAAATAGAAATGAGCATAAACACTGGCAAATGAAGTGTAAAAATATAATTAGGAAAGTCAAAAAAGAATTTGAGAAACAGTTAGCCAAAGACTCAAAAGGTAACAGCAAAAGAATTTTTAAATACATCAGAAGCAGGAAGCTTGCTAAACAACCAGTGAGGCTGCTACTGGACGATCGAAGTGCTAAAGGAGCTCTCAAGAACAATAAGGCCATTGCATAGAAACTAAATGAATTCTTCGCATCGGTCTTCATGGCTGAGGATGTGAGGGAGATTCCCAAACCTGAGCCATTCTTTTTAGGTGACAGATCTGAGGAACTGTCCCAGATTGAGATATCATTAGAGGAAGTTTTTGGAACAAACTGATAAATTAAACATCACCAGGACCAGATGGTATTCACCCAAGAGTTCTGAAGGAACTCAAATGTGAAATTACAGAACTACTAACTGTAGTCTGTAACCTATCACTTAAATCAGCTTCTCTACCAGATGACTGAAGGATAGCTAATGTGATGCCAATTTTTAAAAAGGGCTCCAGATGTGATCCCGGCAATTACAGGCCCGTAAACCTAACTTCAGTACCGGGCAAACTGGTTGAAACTATAATAAAGAACTACAATAAAGAACAATAAAGACATACAGATGAACATAATTTGTTGAGAAAGAGTCAACATGGTTTTAGTAAAGGGAAATCATGCCTCCCCAATCTACTTGAATTCTTTGTGGGGGTCAACACGCATGTAGACCAAGGGGATACAGTGTACTTAGATTTTCAGAAAGCTTTTTACAAGGTCCCTCACCAAAGGCTCCTATGCAAAGTAAGCTGCCACAGGATAAGAGGGAAGGCACTCTCATAGATTGGTAACTGGTTAAAAGATAGGAAACAAAGGGTAGGTATAAATGGTCAGTTTTCA